AGTCAATTTCCCAAGTAGAAGTACGTGATTTCACATGAAAACCTGATTCCAGGCAATTTTGCACTGAATCCATGCTAGAAAAATCAAGCTAGGCTGTGTGCAATGAGCTGAAAATGTGTTGGGAGACTGGATAACGTGTACTGACACTAACAAACAGAACAAAACAGGTTACCAAAAAACATGTGACTAATGTCCAGGGAATGACATTGCAGGTGCTAGTAGCAACCTTAGTTGAGGCAGAAGTAACAAAATTGTTGTTTTTTGGCAAAACAAATATACATCACTCTTTGTAGAGGAGTTCATGGAGGTGCAGGAAATCTAGGTTTCATTCAAAATGAACCACGAAATATAGAGTAATGAGCCAAAACACACGCAATTCTTACTTAGACATTCTGATTTTCAGTTAGTCTGTATTAAAATATAGAGTAAATAGCCAATGTTATACACAAGTACTGTTGTACACAGGCTACCTCGACCCTTTTGTCCGGCTGTCCATTGTCGCCCACCGCCAGTGTTACTCCGCCTGCGATATTTCGCTACGACTTCAGGTGGTTTGGGTTTTACAAGCCCCACACCACTTTTGCGCCAAATCCGAGCAAAATCCGTCTCGCACGGACAAAATTGCTTTTCGCAAAAAACAAAATCGCATGACAAGTCCGGCTCGAAACACAGGATCCGAGTGGTGCTTCCGCCTCTTACCCATTTTCAGGTGGTTTGGATTTATAGGCGTTGAACCTTAGCAGCAAATCGTGGAAACCGAAACCCCAATTGCGGTTTTGGCGATCGTAGCGATCTGCTGCCCCGCCAGGTTTTCTCAGGGTACCCCCGCATCTCCCGCGAAATCATTTGAAAGTTACAGGTTGCAACCAAACATAGTTCGCCAGAGCTTTCCTTTGATAAAACAAGATTCATGGTTGTTAGGAATATTTTAGATTTTCCGTATAAACAACACCACCAAGAATGTTCAGAATCAGCACAAACACAAGCACAGACAACACCAGTGCTGGAAACTCCTTGCCAACCCAAGCGCTCTATCATCAAGATTACGAAGTTTGTGCATCTTGGGCTGCGGGCATTAAAGCATGTTTAACGCCTGATGGCTGGAGCCATCACACATCCGACATATCAAATGACTCCCTCTAATTCGTATCAACCTTATCTGTCAATTTTGTGAATATGATATATGCAATGTGATGTGCTATATGACTAAAATTAGAAATACTCATGATTGCTCATTAAAACAGTCTCTTCTATATTATTACTATTAGTAATATCAGATATCTCTGCTTTAATCAATGGGGTGCTTGTCTGTTTGCTTTGAGATGTGTTGCGCAGCAAAAACCACAATGGTGATGACAGAACTGGCAACAAATATGGTGTCGAACCACCTATAGAAGAAGTTGAACTGAATGTCGCCTCCGAGTACCTCCGTGATCAGAAGCCTGCAACACGCATGGCAGGTAGGAGTGATGTACAAGAGGCATGGCAGGTAGGAGTGATGTGCAAGAGGCATGGCAAGTAGGAGTGATGTGCAAGAGGCATGGCAGGTAGGAGTGATATGCAAGAGGCATGGCAGGTAGGAGTGATGTGCAAGAGGCATGGCAGGTAGGAGTGATGTGCAAGAGGCATGGCAGGTAGGAGTGATGTGCAAGAGGCATGGCAGGTAGGAGTGATGTGCAAGAGGCATGGCAGGTAGGAGTGATGTGCAAGAGGCATGGCAGGTAGGAGTGATGTGCAAGAGGCATGGCAGGTAGGAGTGATGTGCAAGAGGCATGGCAGGTAGGAGTGATGTGCAAGAGGCATGGCAGGTAGGAGTGATGTGCAAGAGGCATGGCAGGTAGGAGTGAAGTGTAAGAAGCATGGCAGGTAGGAGTGATGTGCAAGAAGCATGACAGGTAGGAGCGAAGTGCAACAAGCATGGGAGGTAAGAGTGATGTGCAAGAAGGGCAAGAGTGATGTACAAGAAGCACGAAAGGTAAGAGTGGCGTGCAAGAAGCATGGCAGGTAGGAGTGATGTGAAAGAAGCATGGCAGGTAGGAGTGATGTGAAAGAAGCATGGTAAGTAGGAGTGATGTGAAAGATGCATGGCAGGTAGGAGTGGTGTGAAAGAAGCATGGCAGGTAACAATGAAGTGCAACAAGCATGGCAAGTAACAATGAAGTGTAACAACCCCGGCAGGTAACAGTGAGTGGAACGAACATAGGTGAATGACGGGTATCGATGTGAAACAGGAACCAGCTGGCAATTAGACTGCTCTAAGCAACCTTGTGTACACAATTAGACAGGAAGGTAACATTAAAGCCCAAATGTGTGCACATATGGATACCGTAAGAGCTGATGTGGCACAAATCAGTTACGTGCAAGGAGAAAAATTCCATGCACCTGAATTGAGGTCTGACATAAGCCGGATGGGGTTTCTGCCATGCAGACCTGTATTGCAGCGCGAAGCTATTTCTTATAAGGAGGATGGAGGGAGGGGGAGGGGGAGGGGGAGGGGGAGGGGGAGGGGGAGGGGGAGGGGAGGAGTGGTGAGGGGGGGAGGGGGTGATGGGGATGAACACATGAAGAGACCTGCATTGCTGGGCGCCCCACTGGCCCCTCTTGACACTGTCGAGAGGAACTGAGAGGGGTGGGAGGAGGAGGAAGGAGTGGTGAGGGAAGGAGGGGGGGATGGGGAACACATAAGGAGCACTGCATTGCTCGACGCCCCACTAGCGCCCCCTGACATTGCTGATAGGAACTGCAAGGGGTGGGGGGGAGCAGAGCGAGACGGGGAGGGGAGCAGGATGGGGAGGGGAGCAGGGGGGGAAGAGGATGATCTCCGCCAAGAGGAGTTGCTTGACGCCCCGCTGGCGCCCCCTGACACTGCTGATAGGAACTGCAAGGGGTGGGGAGTGGAGTGGTGAGGGAAGGTGGGTAGGATGAGGATGAGTACTCAAAGAGGACATACTCATTGCTTGATGCCGCCTGACACTGCTGAGAGGAACTGAGAGGGGTGGGGACAGAGGTAAGGTGTGGTGACGGAAGGTGGGGAGAATGGGGATGCATGATTAAAGAGGACAGAATTGCTGCACGCCCCACTGGCCCTTCCTGACACTGCCGAGAGGAACTGCAGGGGTGGGGGGAAGGGGAGTGGAGGAATGGTGACTGAGAGGAGGGGGGAAGAGTATGCAAGGACATAGACGTTGAGATGCAAAACGAGTGAGCAGGTAAAGGAAGAGAAGGCAGAGGCTAACACGATGGATGCGGCTGTGCTGACAATTCAACCAGAGGCACAACCAGAGGCAAGGAGACGTGGAAACGACAGATGCGGCAGTGCTGATGATTCAACCAGAGGCACAAGCATAAGTGAGCCCAAGGGTTGGACTCTTACCTTGGTGAGGTTAGTGAGGAAGCATCTAATGGAGACAGTGATGAGGATGCCTATGAACACCAGCGAGACGTACTGTGAAGAGGATGGTAAGCGGATTCATGCAGGGAGATTGGGTGACGATGGAAGAGTGAAGGAAAATTTAGGAGATGAGGATGATATGAGCATGTGGAGGTGGTGGTGGGAGAATGGCGTACAAGTGCGGTATCAGAATCATGTCAAATGGGTGGGAGAATGGGTGTGATCAAAGGGGCAGACATCAATGCCTGTGCCGTTCACATGCACCGGCGCCTTCATTCGACAAGCTGTGATACGATATGTAATGGCAGGCCAAGGGACCAAGTCGAACGGCATGGTGTGCAGCACAAAAGGCACCCCGAGGCCGGTGTGATTGCTTGGCACAGAGACCCATGAGTCCAGACTGCTTGGCACAATGACCCATGAGTGCAGGGAGAGCTTGAGCATCAGTTGGCGCTTCGCATCAATTGGGAGGCAATGCGATAATTACATGCGATACAAGAGGCACGTTGAGGCTGATGTGGAAGAAATTGAGAATGAAGCCCAGCGCTCTCGTCACAGGGTCGCCCATGCCCACCTGCAAGAGTGGGGAGGGGAATGGTGGCGAGTGGTGGAGAGAGGTGGAGAGGGATCAATTGAGATGCCCGTTGAGGCTGATGTGGAAGAACTTGAGAATGAAGCCCAGCGCCCTGGTCACAGGGTCGCCCATGCCCACCTGCGAGGGTGGAGAGCGGTGGAGGGAGGTGGAGAGGGGTCAGCTGAGATGGAAAATGCAAATGCATTAAGGAAAAGGACACATACAAGCAGGCAGCAGTTGACGGGAACAGTATGTGCATGTTACAAACAGGAAGGGAGATAGTAGTGAACATGTGTGCAGACTGATTGGAAGCTCCTTACGAAGAAGATTAGCGACCGATTGCTTGCACGAGAAGCAAAGGCAAAGGAGTGTGCTGCCTGCTGGCGTTCAGGCAGGCAAGGTCACGGGTGCACCTCCTTGGTGACGGCGTGTTTTGAGTCGACTCAAAACACACCTCAATGTCCAGGCAGACAAGGTGACGGGCGCACCTCCTTGGTGATGATTGTCCGTGTGGACTGAGCTGGTTGGAGATGTCCCATAACAACCCTTTTTATCAAGTCAGAAGGACAGGCAAAGAAGGACTGTGATTGCTGGCGTTCAGACAGACATGGTCAGGGGCGCACCTCCTTGGTGATAATCGTTCGCGTGGACCGAGGGGCGATGGCAGTGTAAGAACCCGTGAGTAGCAGCCACAGGTGACAGCACATGTGCAAAATTGAGAGGGCGAAGGAACAAGATGGAGGAGCAAAATGAAAGGCATTGAAAAAAATAAAAAAAACAAAAAAAAACCTATAATATATGTAAGGAGAGAAATAAAACTGGAAGGAAGAAAATAAACAAAAGAAAGCAGATATTTTTATGTAAGAGGGAATACATATGCAAATTGTGGAGTTTTTTACAGCAAAAAGCTAGCGTTTCTTGCTGGTACAGACAAGCACATGTTATGATGTGTAATCATAACGCGTACATCTTGGCAATACCATACCGTGTACATCTTGGCAATACCATACCGTGTACATCTTGGTAATACCATACCATGTACATCTTGGCAATATAGTAAACAGAGCCGATGTAGCCAAATATGTTCTTCACATGCCCCTTCCACGTGCGTGAATATGCCATGGCTGCCTATGATGCGGCAAGTGTGCAAGGGAAGGGAGGGAACCAGGAAGGAAGCAAAAGAATTAGGTTTCAAGGTTGAAAAGGAGGGTTGCAAGCACTGCCAGGGGTTGCAAGCACTGCCAGGGGTTGCAAGCACTGCCAGGGGGTGTAAGCACTGCCAGGGGGTGTGGCCTCTGGGTGAAGACAACACATTTTCACACCTTCTCCTCTCTCCCAACTTCACTTTAAGTTGGCAGATGTTGAGAGTTGCGTGTGAGTGGAGGCTTCAATCAAGATCTAAGGTGGATACAGGTTAAAACACGACCCATTGCCCCCCACCTTCTCCCCGCGGAGGGTGCATATGTCGATGAAGAGTGAGTGCGTGGACACCTCTCGAGAGTTAAGAAGGATTCAGGTTGCAGGATTCAAGGATATCACTCCTCCACTCCTCTTGCCCCCCACCTTCTCCTCGCGGAGGGTGCAATGCAATGTGTGTAAGAGCCAGCTACGATTCAGTTGCCGAGAAGGGTTGTAGCTTTGGGTCTATCATCACTCCTCCACCCCTCCCACCCCCTACCTTCACCCTACTTTCACCCCCTACCTTCCCCCTCCCACCCCTAAGACCATCCCACCTTCTCCTTGCGGAGGGTGCAGATGTCGAGGAAGAGAGAGCGAGTGAGAGCCTCAAGAGCCAAAAAACATTCAAGAGCCTCCTAACTCCCACCTCTCTCCCACCCCTGTTGACCCCCTACCCCACACCCCTCCTACACCCCACCTTCTCCTCCCGAAGGGTGCTGCAGATGTCGAGGAAGGGGGGGCGAGTGAACGCTTCAAGAGCCAAGAAGCATTCAAGTACTAGCTTGGGGTCTATCATCACTCCCCCACCCACCTTTTCCTCCCTAAGGGTGCAGATGTCGAGGAAGAGCGAGTGAGTGAGGGCTTCACGGGCCTTGATCTCCGCCTCTGTGGCATGCAGCTCCAGCAGCAGTGGCGGGTAGCTCTTCAGCCGCATGGTTTCTGATGAGTGGTTGAAGGGGGGGAGATGGGGGAAAGAATGGTTCTACAGAAGCCCTGATCTCTGCTTCTGTGGCGTGCAGCTCCAGCAGCAAAGGGGTTTACCCCTTCAACTGCATGCTCACAAGTGGGCATGGGGGAGGAGGGGGAAATGGGGGGATGGGGGGGGGAAATGGGGGGATGGGGGGGGGAAATGGGGGGATGGGGGGGTACCCCTTCAGCTGCCTCTGTCGCATGCAACTCCAGCAGCAGCGGGGGGTTTCCCTTCAACCGCATGCTCTCTGGTGAGTGAAGGGGCCGGGGTTGAATGGTGGGAGTGGGGGAGGGGAGGATGGGGGGGAAGAATAGTCCTTCGTTCAGCCGCCTTGATCTCCAACTCTATAGAATGCAGCTCCAGCAGCAGAGGGGGGTACCCTCTCAATTCAACCGCATGCTCTCTGGTGAGTGAAGGGGAAATGGGGGGATGGGGGGAAGAATTGTCTTTCAGCCGCCTCCATGGCGTGCAGCTGCAGCAGCAGTGGGGGGTAGGGAGGTGATCGGGAAAGAGGGACGAGGAGAGTGGATAAACAACAAGGGGGACATGTGACGAGATGAGCCTGACTGATTGTGGCGTGTGGCTTGCTTTCACATCATCCCACCCGCCTTCCTCATCCCACCCACCTTCCTCATCCCACCCGCCTTCCTCATCCCTTATTACTTATAGCTCTCATCTTCTCCACAATTCATCCCTCTCCTCCTTTCCGTGGGTTCATAAAAGCCAATCAATGCAGCCACACATCCATACTCTCCCTCAACCATTTATACATCCATATAGCACCCACCCACCTTCATCCCTCTTCCGACCCTTATCTCCCTCTTCTCACCCTCATCCCCTTCATCTCTCCCTCATCCCCTTTCTCTCACCCTAATCCCCCCCCCCCCCTCTCAACCACACCCACTCCTTACCTACGTCCCTCTCCTCCTCCCTGGGTGCGTGCATCAGTAGGCCCAACAGCTACATCCCAACCATCACTGCTCTCCCCACCCACATCCCTCTCAACACCTCCCTCCCTCCCCCCCGCCTTCCTTGCCTCCCCACCTTCGCCTCTCTCCTTCTCCCTGGGTGCGCACATTAGCAGTCCCCACAGCTACATCCCAACCATCGCTGCTCTCCCCACCCACATACCCCTCACCTCAACACCTCCCTTCCTTCTCCCACATTTTCTTCCTCCCCACCTTCGTCCCTCTCCTCCTCCATGGGTGCGTGCATGGGCAGCCCTACGAATCGTCTGCAGCTCCTGCCGGCATAGGCAGGTGAGGAGGGACGGGGAAAGGGGGAGGGGGGAGGGCGGAAGGGGGAGGTCCGAGAGGGAAAGGGGGAGGGGGAGTATGGGAAGGGCACTGAGAAACAAACAGCTCCTGGGGGCTAGAGCTACTGGTGGTGCGAGAAGAAGCATGAAAGGACCGATAAAAGATAAGGACTATTCGAGAGGCAAGGAATGGGGATGGAAGGAGAGACAAGCGGCTCCCTGGCGCCCATGCAACCCAGGTAGTCAGTGCAACGCAGATTAGGTTGGGGGCGCATGGAAACGGGGGGGACGGGGGAAAGCGGGAGGGGCGATATGGGGATGATGGGAAGGTTGGAAAGGGGCGGCACGGGGACACGGGGAAACGGAAAATGCGGGGAAGGAAGGAAGCAGGAAGAGGGGCGGGAGGGGGAAGGGGGTGAGAGGCGAGGGAAGACAGACACCCCTATGGGCGCTCGTGCAGCACTTTGTGGACACAAAGAAGGTGAATGTTACGACGCCTCAAATTCAACATCGTGCATGACTTGGCTGACACACAGGAAGCAAGTGGCAATCAAATACATGATAGGATAGGTGGAGGAGGAGAAGGAGAAAACTGTTGCGAAGAAAGGTTGTTGCATTAAGTCGGGATTTCTACACTCACCTGCATGAGGTGGGGGTGTGTGCGATCAAGCTGCATGTGCATGAGCAGAGCTCGCTTCTTCCCCACCAGCATCTCCATGCCGTGCCTCAACCGCCGCTCCAACGCACCTATCTCCGCCTCCTCAATCTCCCTGTGACGAGCATCACGCATGTGGGGGGCAGTGTGCATGCGAAAGGGATACCATGCATGTGGAACATGAGCAACACGCCTCTCTTCTTCCCCACCAGCATCTCCATGCCGTGCCTCAGCCCCCGCTCCAACGCACCTATCTCCGCCTCCTCAATCTCCCTGTGGAGGGGGCAGAACGCGTGTGGAGGGGGAAGAACGCATGTGGAACATGAGCAACATGCCTCGTTTTTTCTTTCCAGCCAGCATCTCCATGCCGTGCCTCATCCGCCGCTCCAACGCCCCTATCTCCGCCTCACAAGCATTTCGCAGTCGTGTATGCGGTATGGCCGATGACGCAAAGTAATGAAACGTTGTTTCCTTACACTACCCCCCTCCCCAAAAGAGGCACTTTACGAAAGTGTGCTGAACTCGGTGAGGACTGGGTGGTTTTGAATGCTGTCCAGGGGTACCCAGTTGTCTTCTGTCGGTGCTCGGTCTTTCCATCGGAGCAGGAGCATGATGCGGCGGGCTCCTCGTGGATCGGTGGTTGAGGATCTTGTCAGGTTCGATGATGGGCTCTGTAGGTGGTCGTGTCATGCTGGATGGTCGGTTGCGTGCGAGTTGGCTTCTAATTGGGATGTATGGACGGAGAAGGTTGATGTGGAACGAGGGGCTGACTTACCATTCAACAGGGAGGAGGAGGTGTGTGGTGACGGGGGTGATAATGTGGCTCATATGGAAAAGCCTGCAATATCTTGGGCGTATTTTTGGGGCTCCTGGTAGGCGGAGGTTTTGTATGTCGAGTAGTACCAGATCTCAAGATTGGAATCTGACGGGGCGGCGGTGATGATTGGCATTTCTTTTAGCGATCAGGTTGGACTTTTTAATCGCGTCTATCGCTCGAGTCCGTGCTGCTTGTAATTTTTTGGAGAACAGTTCTGCGCGAAATTGTGCTAAAAAAAAACCCAAACAGCGAAGCTGTCGGGGGTTGAGGTGGGGCTGTGCTCGACCTACTGTTGTGATCGGTGATCTGTCCGTACTGTCACGTCTACGCCGGTCAGGTAGCAGCGCCAAACTCTGAATGCATGAACTATCGCGAGCATTTTGCAGTCGTGTATCAAGTAATTCTTCTCGGGTGGATGTACTTCACAAGACTCGTATTGATTGCAATCCTTTACCGAAGTCCTGTAGCAGTATAGCTCCAATCAAATGTTGCTAGTGTTCGTGACTACTTCGAATGGGCGATGTGGGTCAGCAATGCACAAAACGGGCGTCGGGCACAATACGTTTTTTCAAGGCGACTTCACATAAACTCTGTTGAGTGCTCGGTAATCTATACACATGCGAAAACCCCCATCCTTATTCGGCGTGAATAGTATCAGTGCTGCGAATGGTGACAATCTCGATGTCAATGTCGACGAATGAATTCCGTTGACCAACCGTCGCAATTCGATAAAATTCTCAACTTGTCGGCAACAACCACGAAATCAAGCTAGTTGTAGACCTTTGTGCACCGAACGGCGGGGCTGACTTTGCCCAAGCGAAGGCGAGGCCTTTTTTTTGTCAATAGCTCAGTAGATCATCACCATTGAGGCTAAGACCCGTAGTCAATCTTCCTCCACAGCTGTAGCAGCACAGCCGCGCAACATCAAGAGTGGGCGTGGAGGTGGGCGTGGTAGTGGGCGAGGCGAGTCTGGCGGTCGCGGTGGTGCAAGTCGTGGTGCAGCAGCGGCCTTTCCGCCCTGTCAGTATTTACCTCGCTATGGTCCCACGAAGTAAATAAGAGAACGGAGTCGGGGAGACAGTAAGAGACGACTGAGGGGGCAACGGGAGAGCAGTAGGTGGTAGAGCACGAGGGGGAAGAGAACGGAGGATTATAGAGTGTGAAGGCATACATACGTGATATGTCAACAAAAGGAGTGGCTAGAATGATGTCATACAGATGTGATACATACCAGACCTATACCCTCTACAAAGTAACCCAACCTAGCTTGTAATGTGCACACCAGGGCCTCAGATTGGTTGTTGGGTATCCTGAGCACTCAGTGTCCCTAGTAGGAGTAACACTGATCTTCGATGTCATCTGGTTGGAAACACTGTTTTTTAAGGGTTTAAAGGCAAAAAAACGCTGATCGATCAGGGTGCCGAAATTTTGAACACTAATCAGCATAATTATTAAAATCCTAAGGCTGCAAGTTATGCCATTGTTTCCCAAGTTTCCATTAATAAACACTTAAATAATTCACATGTCATCATCGTAATCATCACTCAATGTCATGGGCATGGAACCTTTGTCACAAGTCCCCCCAAAGCCAGAAACTAGAACGTCATCATCCTCCTCATCTACCTTCTCCTTCCCTCTTGCACTTGAAGGTTTCTTGGGTGCGGCAACGGTGGTGAACGGCTTCCGCCTCTTGTACGCTCTCCAAATCTTGACCACTTTGTCAGAATGGTATAGTGCTTACATTTACGTAGGCTATAGTGGGGTAGCCCATAAGGGGTACAACCCAATTAGGGTTAGTACTTGTACCCAACTCTTTCATAGTTCATCCATTCTCGTTCATTCTTCTGACATGGTTTCAGAGCAGGTCCTTCGCTAGGACCGATTTTTTTTTCCTTGGGCCCACCACTGCGCTGCCCCACTAGCCGCCCCTAGCGACCCTCGTGCCGCACCTGCTGCCTAGCGTGCCGCCCTCGTGCGGCTTGTCGCCCCTAGCCCGGCCCGTCGCCCCTAGGCCCGTCGCCCCGGCCCATCGCCCCTAGGCTTGTTGCCCTTAGGCCGGCCCGTCGCCCCTAGCCTGGCCCGTAGGCCCGTCGCCCCTAGCCCGGCCCGTCGTCCCTAGGCCCGTCGCCACGGCCCGTCGCCCCTAGGCCTGTCGCCCCGGCCCGTCGCCCGTCGCCCCGGTCCGTTGACCATAGGCCCGTCGCCCCTAGCCCTGGCCAATCGCCCCTAGGCCCGTCACCCCGGCCCGTCGCCCCTACGCCCGGACCATCACCCCTAGGCCAGTCGCCCCGGCCCGTCGCCCGACGCCCCTAGGCCCGCGACCGACGCCCCTATGCCCCAGCCCGTCGCCCGTCGCCCCTAGGCCTGCGCCAGTCGCCCCTAGCCCCGGCCCGTCGCCCGACGTCCCTAGGTCCCGGCCCGTCGATAGTCACCCCTCGGCCCGTCGCCCCTAGGCCTCGGCCCCATCAACCGTCGCCCCTAGCCTCGGCCCGTCGCCTGTCACCCCTAGGCCTGCGCCCGTCGCCCCTAACCCTGGCCCGTCGCCCGACGCCCCTCAACCCCGCCCCGACGCCCGTCGCCCCTAGGCCCGTCGCCCCTAGGCCCCGGCCCCGGCCCGTCACCCGTTGCCCGTCGCCCCTAGGCCCCGGCCCGACAGTCCACCCCAGGCCCCGCGAGCCGCCCCTTGCAGCCCGCCCCTCGACCCTGCAGCCCGCGAGCCGCCCTTGCAGCCCCGCGCGCCGCCCCTGGTGGCCCTCTCGCCGCCCCTGCTGCTCTGCTAGCCGCCCCTTGCGGCCCTCTCACTGTCCCTTGCTACTGCCTGCCCTGCGCTGCCCTGTTTCTCCTCGCTCTGCGTGCTATGCCACTATGGCTTCTCTCCGCGTGCTAGGGTTCGATCATGAGGGACGCCCCCACAAGTTTGAAACGTGGCTCGACGACCTGCAGCTGTACCTACTAAGCGACTCTAGGGACAGTGTTTCGTTGTTTGACCACACGTCTGGCGCCGCTCCCGCCCCTCCCGCCACAGCTGACAGTGCGACCCGCTCACAGTGGCTTACTCGCGACGCTGCTGCCCGCTTAGCCATTCGCAACCACCTGCCGTTGACCGAATGCGCTCACTTCGGACAGCACAGCATAGCACAGGCACTGTACGACGCTGTCGTCGCTCGCTACTCCTCGCCTGCCACTGCTGCTCTAGGCCGCCTCCTACTGCCCTACCTGTTCCCCGAGTTGTCCGCCTTTGCCACAGTCGAGGACCTGGTTTCCCAACTTCGTACTAGCGACGCTCGCTACCGCGCTGCCGCCCCAACTGAGTTCCTTGACAGGAACCAGCCCCCAATGTTCATCACTCTCTACTTTATAGTCACCCGACTCCCTGACTCTCTACGCTCTATAAGGGACCACTTTCTCTCCCTAGACCCCACAGTCGTCACTATTGACCTACTCGAGCAGCATCTCCTTGCAGCTGAGACTAGTGTAGTCGCTGTAGGTGCTGCTCGTGGCACTCCGCGAACGCCCTTCTTTGAGGGGTGCTCCCCCTCCCCCCTTGCCCCCTCCTACGCCTCTTCTGCTGCTGTTGACGTCCCTAGTGCTGAGGACGTAGGGGCTGCTTTTGCTAGTGCGAAGCGCCGCAACAGCAAGGGCAAGGGCGGCAGGGGTGGTGGCGGTGGCAGTGGGAGTGCTGGTGGGGGAAGCAGTGGAGGTGGTGGAGGCAATGGAGGTGGTGGCAGCGGTGGGAGTGGTGGCGGGAGTGGGGGCTTTGGTGGCGGCGGTGGAGGCAGCGGTGGGAGTGGCGGTAGTGGCAGCGGTGGGAGTGGTGGCGGTAGGACTGGAGCTCAGCGTGGAGGTTCTGGAGGAGGCCAGTGGCAGCGGCAGCAGCGTCGGATCGAGACCCCGTCGCCCCAGCAGCTTCGTGAGTGGTTGTTTCAGCGTGGGGCGTCTGGGGGTAGTGTTAGCTGCCCGTATGTCATTCGCACGGGTGACCGTGCTGGTCAGACATGCGGGAAGCCTCACACTCAGCACCGCTACTTCTCCCGCCTCGATGACGCTTGGCGCGCTGAGTTTGGTGCCGAGGTCGAGCGCCCCCACTGGGCAGAGCTGCTTAGGTCTGGAGTTGCGATCTTTGACCTAGACTATGATGCTATCCTTTCTGCTATGTATGCTTTGTCTGCTAGTGCTGAGGGTGACTGTTACCGGTGTGTGCCGCCTGACCCAGGTATAGAGGCTGCTGCTCTAGGTGCTAGTGAGTCTTCTCTCCCTGGTACTGCGCCTGCTCAGGCCTTGCACACCTTCACGCTGGACTCAGGTGGCTCACGCTGTT